AAGAAATGGTGATGGAACACAGTAGTAAACGTGACCTGTCTCAGCTTTTTTTTAAATAAACCTGTTGTAGCCATAAAATTCAAACTGAATGATTTACCCCGCCTAATGCCTGAAGACAGCTGGGATAGGCTCCAGCACGCCCGCGACCCTTGTGAAGATAAAGCGGATTAGAAAATGGATGGATGGATGCCAGAAACAAAGTTTACCAGTTTTATCTTGTCTTTGTAGTGTATTCATTTAAATATAGGTTGAACATGATTTGCAAATCATTTTACAGTATTCTGTTTTTATTCATGTTTAACACAACGTTCCAGGTTTCAGTGGAATTCGGTTTTTAACTTTTCGTTGGCAGATGCGACCCCAAACCAGGAACGTATATTTGCCGAGCCGCATTGCGTCTGAATGGGTTTGCTGTTTGCTTCATGTGGCTTCAATGAAAATCTTCATTTCTTCACTGAAAATATTTTTTGTAAACAATTCAAGCAACACTTTAGGATTCTTTGTGAACTAAATAGACGTAGTTTTTTTTGTGTGTGTGTTTGTCGAGTGGACAGTGAAAGGTTTGTGTGCTGTGGGCCTAACCAACACAACTAACCAGCTCATTACCCCTGCATGTTTAAAGATATTTTTTTAATGTGGGAGGAACATTTGTACCATCAGTGAAGTCTTTCTCGGCGCTTGTCAGTTGTAATGACACCCTGCAGCTTCTTGTATTCATCTGGGCCTTTTGTTTGGGTTTTTTTGATCACTGACAGTTTTAATTGGTCAACTACAAAGTCGATAATGTATACCTGTGAGACCTGGCTTCAGAACAGGAGTTCATTTGAGCACCGGGAACATTTTAATTTTTGTGTGTGTGTGTGTGTGTGTGTGTGTGTGTGTGTGTGTGTGTGTGTGTGTGTGTGTGTGTGTGTGTGTGTGTGTGTGTGCGCGCGCGCGCACACGCGCCACACTGGAACACACAAATGATTGATTGCACTATGATGTTGAAGCATTTTAATTGATCCACGATCACCAACTACCCCAAGTACCAGCCCAATTAGTGTTGATGTATTTATTTTTTCAGTTATTTAGATTCTACGTCCAGTGTCAGTGAAGGTCATTACCGTTCCCTTTTTCTATTTTTTGGGATTGGTATCATCCAGAAAGATGTAAGGCCATCAGTTTTTGACAGATTAGGCTTTGCAGTTTTGCGTCAGTCCTTTGCTCGCCAGTTGACCTTGGCGCAGGGCTGTAAAATTGTCACCTGGTCAGAATTTTTTTGTGTCTCTGATTTCATTTCAGCTCATGGCCATCTCCCTGCTCCAATTCTTTTACTTTTCCTTTTATCTGTGGTGAGATTCTCGAAGCCGAATCTGTTCGAAAACTCCAGGTTGTTCAAAGGCTTAAGGTGGAAGATTTTGATGCTCAAAAACTGCAGAGCCTCTGGTGGCCTTGCTTCTGTCTCAGTTACCTAAAATGATTTTTTTTTTTTTTTTTTTTTTTAAAGAGTGTAGTGACTTTTGGACATCCTGGCCCGTACATAGTTACAGTATAAAGTGACAACCACATCTTTGAAACGTGATTCATTGGTTTCATTGCTTGCTTTGTTATTGTGTTTTTACAAGTGGGAATCACTAATATGGTCCCCGTTGATGTTTGATGATCTTTCAAAATTATTTTTCATTTCCACATGAGAGAAAACCGGTGACTCATGATGAATTTCTCGAATTCTCGACAGATTTCTTTTTCCTCTGTCTATTCTCTTTGTTGCAGATTTTATTCATGAACAAAATTGACCTTTTCCAAGACAAGATTCTGCACTCGGGGCGACATCTGCGCCATTACCTCCCTCAGTTTAAAGGTTTGTCTAAAAGTTATGCCTTTTACTAAACATTGGAACACAGAAGCGAAAATTCTGTGTGTCACTCAGCAGACAACTTGCCATCTCATAATGCCCATAAAGCTCTGTTATTGAGTAACTAAATGCTTCTGGCTACTTTTTGAAGTATATTACAAGTTCTGAACTTTTTTGAACTTGTATAACCATAAAAATGAGAAATGTTACTTTGTAATTGTACAATACCTTGACAGTTACAGGATTTATAATTACAACAGTGGGAAGGGTGACTTCAGTTTGCATTATTTGTGCGAGAATAATAGGTTTGAAATCCGAACAAATTGAATTTTGACCGTGAAGGTTCTGCTGTGACCCAGCTGGCCAGCTGACGCAGTTCCCACACATATGCACCCACTCAAAATGTGGGTGAATCCTTTCAAACCATACCGAAATGGAAGTGACAAAATTTGGCATTGACAAATCAGGAGTGTAAAAAAATGTTTAATAGCACATAATTTTGCCTGCACTGACACTGAAGCCATGCGTTGCCGTGATGTATCTCGCTAGGCTGAGCCACGTAGGATCAGCATTGTTCTCGGATGGAAGTGTCACGGAGTGTCCCAGAGTGCAGGTTGGAACATTGATACAATACATCTTCATTTATATGCAGAGTGACTGGAAGAGTCACAGAAAGGCATACAAATACAGGTTGTTGATTGAGAGCAGAAAGCTTTGCTTGATAAGATATGGTCAAATTATGTTCACTTCTAAAGGTTGTCGTGCACTTTAGGTTCAGTCTGAAATGTCACTGGAAAGCCCAATATAATATATCCATCTAACATTTTGTGAGATGGATATAACTATCCTTAAATCAGTTCTGGTCTCGGCAGCAGAGTGGTCATCATGTGCCTCATCGTTCTGACGTTCTGCTTGTTAAAATCTCAGCGCTGGCTTCTTGTGGAGTTTGCATGTTTTCGTAATGCTTATTTGTTTTGTCCGGCTACTCCAGCTTCTTCTCAAATCCCCAAAATAAAACATGTTAGATTTAGTGAAGACTCTTAAGTTCTCTCTGGGTCCAAGAATGAATAGGAGTGTGAATAGCTGTTGGTCGATATTTGCACTGTGTACCCAGTACAGTATCTCACCCACAGACAACTGGGAAAGCCTGCAGATCCAAATAAGGGGGGAAAAAAATGGATGGATGGATGGATTTTGGACCAGTGCAAACACTAATCGCACAGCAGCCTCTGAAATGAGGACCTCTCTTGAAGCACCGAAACAAATGTTTCTAACTTGGCAACATCGTCTTTCAGGAGCAGACTGTGACGTGGATTCGGCGGCCCGCTTCATCACCGCCACCTTCGTCTCGCTCGACGCGGCCTCCACTAAGCTCATCTATCACCACTTCACCACAGCCACCGACACCTCCAACATCCAGGTGGTCTTTCAGGTGGTTATGGACACTATTATAAAAGAGAACTTGGAGGCCGTGTCTCTCCTGTGACTGCCAGAGAAAGTCTTGAGTTCGTAGCAACTGAGCTCTAAATGGGCCATGGGACCTTTGGACGTGATGCACACACTGTCTTTCGGTTGCCCACTTTAGTTGGAGTTCTGATCATTTCAAGGACCTTTGCAAAAATCCCCAAACTACCAAGGACTACCTTGCATATCCTTTGAGCAGCTATGTTTGAACTCTGTACTCTTAAAAACATTATGCGAAGGGAAGCAGCGGCGATGTGCCTGTTGTGTGTTTGGGAGGACGAGCAATTCACCGTTTTGTCCACGGGGGCGGCTGTACCAGGTTCACTCGTGCATACTATGAAATATTTTCCCTACTCATCCATGACGGCGTCACACTTCCGAGAAGGCGGCGAGCATCTGCATCGTGAAAAATTCTCTCCACCTTGTCATTCGTCGTAACAATTAGTTTAGTGCACTAATAACCCATTTATATTTTAAAAAGGTGTATCTTCGGAAAGTCTAAGGCTGAATAGCACCAACGAGCCATAATTCAATCGGAAATGAGCTCTAATTAGAGATTAGTAAAACCAAATTTAAAATGAGTTAGTCAAAAAATGAAGTAGAGCTCTGTTGCACCATTTCACATTAATCTTGCTTGACGAAAACTCTTAATTGAATTTAAGATGAGTCCAACCTAATTTATAGGGATGATTGTGGATACTGAAATTGAAATTAATCATTAATTCTGCAATAAAATATATAACCTACACTGCTACACCATTGTGGAGGAGACCTCTGCCAACGTTTGGGTTTTTTTCCCCAATTAAACTCACTGAGCGGCTTGGTTCTCGAGCATACACACGTAGCGAATGTCGTTTTTTTCATTCAGGTTCATTTGAGTTTGTGAAGACAGTTGCCGGACACTCACAGTTTTTCTTCTCACCATCAAATTTTGAGGGCCCTCAGAGGTGAGCGGCATGCCGCTCAGTGAGATATCTTAGGAGTGTTGCTAGCTAGCAAAAACATGAGCCTCACAGCACTTGGACGCTTGGCTGAATTAACGTAGCAAATAAAAGACTAGAGCCTAAAAAAAAATGCAGCCAATTGTTGAAGTTAAACTATCAGTTTACCATTAATTCTCACTCACAGTTTAAACTGGAATTTCAACTTGGTTTAACGGCAGAAATTAAACTTTGGTTTCAAGACAGGTTTAAATGGAATTTGTTTTACTTTAAAGTACGCTTAAAGTTTGCTGCAACAGAATTCAAACTTAAACCATGATTCAATCTAGATTTAAAGTTGAACCTTGTTGGTGCAAACCGGCCGAAGCGTTTAATTACCTGTCTTTGACATTTTGGGATCACATCACCTGGTGCGTTTTAAATGTGATCCATAAGGCCTCTCTTACATTGCAGAGGCTGTTTTAAATGTTCTTAATACGTCAGTACTCTGTTTCATGTTTGTGTCTTGACTGGAAGTTAAAGGAGAGTAATGCCTTATGTTGGTCATTTCCTCTTCTTCTTAATGTTCTTTTGTCTTCAACTAAAAATGAAAATACATATTGCTGTTTGTTTTCCCAATGTGTTATTCGGTTCAGTATGTTCAACGTTGTCCTGAAACTGCAAGATGTAATAAAAATGTGCGGCTTGAATCTTGCATCATTTTTCTCTGTTTTCCTTGCTATGAAATGGAATATGAAGAGACACCTGTACACAGCGGGTTCCAAATATTTGTTCATTTTTATCGATACAATAAAAAGTAATATACAGAAATCCACTTTCTCACATACAGCAGTGCGGGTGCACGTCACGGAACAGAACACTCAATGTGAACTCTGAAACGATTTATACACAACCAAAAATAAAAACAAATGAAACAGAACTGCACCTTGACATAAAAGGGGAAAAAAAGATATTCAAGTGTCAATACTGGGCGACAATGACCTCCCTTTTCTGTACAAGTTGAGCGGAAGGTGGACTCATGCGGACAGGCAGTCCAGCGAGTCCAGGGTGAGGAAGACATCTGCCTTGCACTGGAAAGTGCCGGTTCCATCCCGCAGCAACTCGCAGCTCTTCAGGTTTGGGGAGATGTCCTTCACGCAAATAGCCTTTAATCCAAATAACACATCAATAACAAGACAAATTGATTTAGTGGGCATGTAAACTTTTGTCTGTTATTTCCAGTACTTTACGAGACGGGTTAAGGTTCGTCAGATGGTGAGATGAACGAGCAGTGTCACGTAAACGCCATGGTTTCATTTCCAGCAAAATATTTTCAGGATCCGAATCCAGTTTCAAATGCGTTCCTTAAAATAAAGTCATTGTCATGGCACTTTTAATTGCACCGCATTGAAGCGCGCTCCGGAAGCGCTTGACGCTCGTGCGTAAAACGTGCTTTTACGCACGGAGATCATCCAGTCTTGGATGTGTTGATAAATATGTTGTTGTTTTACCTGACAAGCAATTTCAAAATAAAGGAACGAATGTGAAAGAGCATACATTACGTTTCGGCGGAAAGTAGAATTACGCTGCTGAAAAGGAGGCTGCGGACACGAACTAAAACGTGGAACAAAATGATCATCTCAATACCACTCACCATACTTTTGAGCAAGGAGACCTGCCTGCCCGTCTCCGGAACAACGTTGGCACCGGTCGTCTCTCCACTTTCCATCGTTTCTTGGGACTCAGATCTACGCACATAAGGCGACCTCCTGATTCCAGAGAGCAAACCGGAGGCGCGACCCACAGAGTAGTAAGTGGGACCGGTGGACTGCTTGTACCATGCCTGGACGGAGTGACAGGAGATGAGCAAGGACACTCCAACGCACACCACAGCAAACCGAATGGACCTATCCATGTCTGGAAAGCACTTGTGCCGTCACGCGAAGCTCTTTTTCTGGGGTAGGAGTGAGGGACTGTTCTCCTGCAAGTCGTGTTGCGCTTGGTTGCCTGTTGGGCGAATTTCCTGCCGCTTTTATAAGCGGGCGGCGAGACGTATCGTGACCCAAGACGTTCGTCAAATCAAATTGGAGGAGAGCAAATGATGTTCCGTCTTGATGAGTGAGAAAGGGGTGCGGGTGGGTTGGGGAGGAGTCTTTGGGGACGGTTTCCAATTGATCTGCTTGTGATGGATTGGGAAATGCGCGCGCGCGAGAATGAGAGAGAGAGAGAGAGAGAGAGAGAGAGAGAGAGAGAGAGAGAGAGAGAGAGAGATGAATACGTCAAACGCGTGACGCTTGTGGGGGTAAAAGTAAGGTTGACACCAGTGGTCCAAGACAATGACGTAAGTGGGCCGACTCATAGAACTCAGCAGTAACCGGGACATTGCACAACTATCTATCTGTACCTTTTGTCCTCACTGGGGTCTCAGTAGTGGTGGGAAGTAACAACGTAGGCCATACTTCCTGCAATTTAGTAGAGTTTTCAGGAATGTGAGTGAAAATGGTTGTTTATCTGTTTACCCTGCGATTGGCTGCGGTAACCACCCGCCGATTGGCCGCTGTCAGCTGGGGTCGGCTGAGGGAGGCACACCCGACGCAGCACACCCGACTCTCGGGATAGGCGGCTCGGTTGATGGACAACTTTTATCTTTAATTTGTTTTAGTTCTTTTAAATAATTAAAAAAAACTATAATTATTAATAGACTAATATGAAACACGGACATTGTGATTTGCTCGGCCCTATTATATTAAACGATGTTTATGTAAGCTAATGTTAAATTATTAATTATTTTCATTTTATATTTGAGCATTATATTCCTTTATGTTATAGTTAGCTAAATTATATTCTGTTTAATAATTGTTTAAACATTCTTATGTTGCTTGCCTCTGATTGGCTGAAGCAGGAAGGTTTTCGTTACTGGAAGGGGGTGAGTTGTGTTCTTGTTGGAAGTTGCGGAGCAGACGTTGAAAGAATAAAAGCTGCGTTCAAAGGATCCCATCTCTCCTTTTGCCCATTCTTAAAGGAGAGCTATCCACTACAAACCTACGAATCCCTCAACTTACATTTATTTAATCTTTGAATTGACCAGTTAATTTGACTTTTTCAGATGTTTTAACCTCTGTTTAGATCAGGAGTGCCAACCAGTCGACCTGATCCCAAGGCCACCGCGAGGTGTGTCGGAAAAAAAGTGAATTTTTATGACGTGACAGGACATCAGTGTTGCCAATTTAGCGATTTGATATGCTATATTTAGCGAGTATGCAGACCCTCTCGAGCGACTTTTTTTTTCCAAAAAAGTCCCTAATGACAATCTAGTGACTTTTTCTGGTGTTATTTGAGACTTTTGGAGTCTGTGACATGAAAGCACGTTGTTAAACCTATTCTCAGTGCACAGCGCCTGGTGCTGATGTGGCCCCTCCCCCAAAGGTAGCCGCTGCTGGCTGATCCCGCCAGGTTTACAGTCAGGGCTGGATGTAAATGTAAACTTTTCTTTGTCTAAAATAAACAAAAAAAAAATCAACAAATAAAAACGAGAAAAGAAAAAAAGACATGAAAACCACAACATCCCCCAAGTAAATTACACGCCCTGATGGCATCATTTAGCGACTTTTATGACAGCCAAATAGCTTCTTTCCTTACCAATGAGTTGGTAACACTACTGGAAGTTGACCGCTGTCAACGGAAGCGAGCAGCTCGCGATTACAGCGGTTACACACCCCGAAACGTCAACATGGCTGAGTGGAAACGAGCCAAGACCTACCATTTTCACCCTGAGTGGGAGCAAGATTATTTTTTTGTTTATTATCATCCAAAGCCTGTTTGTTTGATTTGCAAGGCAACGGTGGCATTGGCGAAGAAAACGAATCTGGAGCGGAATTTCAAAATGGTACACAGGCGCTCTGAGACGGATTTCCTTGCAAAAACACTTTTACGTGCCACAAAAGTGCGGGATTGGAAAGCACATCTTGCAGCACGGCAGTCAATCTTCACCAAACCGAAGACGCAGAGTAACTAACTACGGAAAGCTCGCCTCCTCAGAGTGCCAGATCTCCCACTAAGGTAGGAAGTGATTTCCTTTTTTTCAAACAGATCTACCTGTTTTGTGTCTGGTTTATTTTTCTTCTTGGTTCAAATTAAGGTCAGTTATGGCTATTGCTCATCATGAGCAAGGGCGCGATGGGGGGGTTTGCGATGCTGACACTGGACTGGTAGATTTCCGGAGCTTGGCTCCTTGAAAAGTAGCCCTTGGCACAAAAAAGGTTGGGCACCCCTGGCTTAGATGTTAGAGGTGTCACAAAAGAAAAAACATATCATCATGTTTTGCTTTAGAGGTTTGTTTATGCAAAAAAATATTTTGCTCTGGATTTTGGGCAAAGTGTCTGAATTTCTTAAAACGTACCCATTGTATGTTCTACTGCTTATTGAAAACGGAAAAAGATAGAATATTTTTTTTCCTGGTGAAAGAAGATACTACATTCTTTCATATACTGTAGTAGGTTCATTGTAAAAATAATCCCAAAAAAAAAAACATTCTGTGGGTCTTGAAAAATCAGGCCAAATGCTCAAAAGTCACTGGCCCTCTAGGTATTGAAGGAGTTAAATGTCCATCACTCCATCCATAACCTGGAACAGTAAGTGAGAAGAGAAGTGGTTCAAACCCTGGGAAGTTAGGTGATCCATTGAGTCTATGTCGAATTACCGTCACGCAACAAAAAAAGAGGAAATGTCATGACTCTGTCCATCAATGTACAGATACACCAAAAGTGTCGTGGTTGTCCAGGACATCATGTCGGAAACACCAGCAGCTTCTGTATTGGGTCAGAGCAGAACGGTTGGCTTGATATAGGGCTGGGTGTCGATTCAGACTTTCAAAATCTATTTGATTCGTTTCACAAGGGCCCGATTTGATTTGAGTTATGATTCACTTTGACTGATTTTCGATTCAGTTAAGGACTTCATGCTGTACCAATTTTACTTTCATATGGAAGACATTTCTCAGAAGAAACAATGGTGCAAATAGTACAAACCTCTTTCTTTAACTTGGTGCACTAGTACACGTGGAGTGTACACTCTCCTGACTTGTGCGCGGGCAGCGTGGGATCAGTTCCCACTCAGTGACGGAGTGGATGTGGGTGTGAATGGCTGTTTGTCTCTATATGTACCCTGCGACTGACTGGCGACCAGTTCAGGGTGTAGTCTGTCTTCTGCCCAAAGGCAGCTGGTATAGGCTCCAGCAACTCCTCGGGATCCTGTTCAGGATAAGCGGTGTTCAAAATGGTTGGATGGATAATTCCAACCACAGTGCAGGCTGTGTAAATAAAGTGTCAAAAACACACTGTAAACCCTTGCCAGTCACATTCTTGCGACTGTATCACAAAGTTTCAGTCCATTGCTGTCTTTGTGTTTAAAAAAAAAAAAAAACTTCCATCAAACTTGTTGACGCCGATTTCAGTGCTTCCGCCAGGTGGTTTTGAGACGAGATGTTGTGTGACACAAGATGTCACATGAATTTATGGGGAAAAGACGTATCTACAGGATCAATTTGTGATTTTATGAATCAATATGAAGCTATGAAAAGGAAAATTGATTTCATTCAATTAATCGATTCTTTTAAAAAAAAACAGCCCTCGTCAAATAGAAATAAAAGGACCTCATCAAGAAATATATGGCAGTGTTTCGCTGACCCACGATCAGCAGTCAGTGAATCAGTCCTGCTTCAAATATTGGGCTCGGAGGAAATCAACAGAAATTTATCAATACAAAGTGATTTGCGGATTGATGTACTGATCCCAATGGCTATGTATCATCAGCACCAACCCCTCAGGAGAAGAATAGTGAGCGATGCACTCCTTCAATGAAATAATAAAACAGTTAAATGTCACGGATGCCATTTTGCCTCTCCATAAGAGGCTCTGGATGATAAGAATAAACTGCACATGTACGGAAACCGATTATGGACCCATAACATAACATAATCAAGCATGATACCTTACCATTATACGAATTAAGGGGATGTAAAATGTTTATTTTTGACCATTAAAAGCAGCGTGGCATACAAAAATATAATTAAACATGATTTTTTTTTTTATTTTATTTTTTTTATGATTTAACGAGCACTCAGTTCAGACTTCTACGCCAATCAAGATAGGCTTAGGCTTAGGTCGGGCCCATTAGAGTCCATTGTAAAGTGGTCTGCAGTGTGGCTCCAGCTTGTCCTCCAGGACATAGTCTGCTCCACAGACCCACGGGTCCCCTGTCTCCCACTGCCATTTCTGGAGATTCTGTTTCAGGCTCTCCAGTATGCCACTGTAGGATGGGTCTGATGCCAGGTTTTTGGTTTCCAGAGGGTCTCTCCTGTATTGGCCATGTAGGTGAATCGGGGAAAAAAGATTGTCATCAACTTTTCAGAAATACATTGTTGAGAAATAAGAACCCGCAAAAAATAAGACTTCGACTTTCAATTTAAAAGCCAGGACAATATTTAAACAGAAGACATTCCAATATTCTGACTAGAAACACTGGAATGAGTCAGGAATGGGTAAAAATAGTACAGTAGCTATCTTGAGTCATGTATTGTTACAATATTGCGAATGTGCTGCAATTTGAGACTTTTTTTGTTTTTTTTTGGCTTTAGTGCAACCAAGAAAAAAGGTTGGGGCATACTTTCTCAAACCTACTGCTGCTGACTATTGTTCATTGCTTCAATATTTCACTTGCTCAAGTCTCTTCTAATATTTAATTCTTAAAAAAGTAAATAAGAGCATGCATAATGCCTGCTGATACTGTAGCGGATGACATCAGTCTCTGATAGTACTCAAGGCCGCAATATCGATATTGTATCTGAAGTGAAAACACAAGTTATTGAAACAGCGCTCAAATTTACTGTATGTTCTGTATTTTTTATTTGATGTCGCCAGGCGGTGTCTCTTTTGCTTAAACCTGGAAATTGATTCTTCATCTGTTTGAAAGCTTCTGTGCATTGGATGGGCTGTAAATTGCGCCACTGCCACATCATGCAACAGTGATTCATAGCAAAACCAGGGGCAGAGACTTGCCACTCGTTAAATTTTATGGCAGAGCCCCGCGCGCTGCGAGTGTGCACTGTGCAGTGGAGTCTTGCACAGCTCAGCCGTCGCCTCCCCAAATGATTGCCGCCTGTTGTA